CTGTGAACCAAAGGGGAAGCACAGAAGTAGGTTCTTGCGGAGATGGGGGAGGATATTCGAGGGTATCTCTTTTTTTTTTCTTAAAGCTTCGCTGTCACATTTGACTTATTTTTCTCATCCATAGAACTGAGCATCATTACCAAGATAATTAAGTTCTTGAATGTGCCTTTAACAGACAGCGTTTTTTTCCTATCTTGCACGTAGCTACAGAGACAAATGTGCTAAGAGATGGTTAAAGGAAAAAAAAGGGTGGTGGTGGAGAAATGCCCCTCTAGCCCCTTCTGCAGGGGCAGCAGCACCACGGGCAAGCATTGCCTGTTGGCTCGGCCCTTTTCACCTCCAGAACCCCTCCTGACCCGCTCCCACCATTGCCAGGGCATTGCTGGATCCTTGCTGCGAGGACCAGTTGCAGGTTGGGGGGGGGCAGGAATGGCTCTTTGGTGATATCTCTTGTGTTTGTAACAAAATTTGCTTCATTGCAAAAATAGTGTCAATACCATCAAGTTGTTTACAGAGCACAGAGAAGGGGGAGGGTGCCGGGAGCCTGCATCGCTCTCGCAGATGTCTTAATAGCAGCGATGCTGCGTGTCTGTGTGTGTACATACGCGCACCACGCTCTGATCCAGGCAAGATGGGGGGCTCTGGGACTGGTTCCTACATGAGGAACGTGTAGTGTGCGTTCCAGATAAACACAGTGCTAAAGCCCAGTCTGGGGGTTGTGGGTTTGGGTGGGGTGGGTGCTGGTTGGGAGGGTTGTGCCGGGTTTGGGGAAGCAAAACCAAGGCGGATCTGTTGGGTGGCTGCAGAGCAGCCCCTCCCCACAACACCCATGCCCTCTCCCCTCCCCAGCATTTAGTGAAGAGGAGAACAAAGATATGGGAATGATTAATCAACTGGCTAATAAAAAAGTATAAATCCCTGGGGACTGTGTGCTGCTAATACCGAGGAGCTGGCTCGGAGACAGCCACCGGGAGGGACGAGCCAGCCCTCCTCTCCTTGCCTTGCCTCTCCTCTCCTCTCCCCGAGCTGCTGCCACACTTGGTTCATTCCAGCTGCAGCAGCTCAGAGCCTTCCATGCGGTGGGATTTTTTTTCTGGGCTGAAAAAATAAAATAAAAAAATACTCCCAAGCCTGACCTGGTTTTTTTCCCCCTTTTCCCTTTCTCCTCTTGATCCAGCCGAGCCGAGGACAAGCCCAGAGCCAAGGGGAAGAAAAAGGGGGGGAAAACCCAACGACAACAAGCAACCCCCAGCACACCACATTC